ATTAAATACAAAATTTAGTTTTACTATGGGGTTTCTCACTTTCTGTTGAGTAGAAAATTCGTGTTTACTGATAAGATAACTTATGACGTTTTCATCAATCTTTTTCTTAAATTAATTTTAACTTATCAAAGTTTTCCTTGTGGCGTTCTAATTAATTCGTTTATTATTATTATCTTGGATTTCACTCACCTATTGAGTACGGATCAAGTAAGGAGGATTTATTTAGGGTTTTGAGTTTCTGATTACTGATGTATATGCAGGCTTTTAGATTCCACTGTTGATCATAGGTTTCGTATTAGTTTCTCAATCAGTTATTTGGTTTATGTCAAAAGATATTGTCAAGACCTATTTTTGACTATTTTCCAATTTGTAAATCATCATATGGGAATCAATTGGACACTATTCCGTTTGACTTGGATAACAAATGGTTAAAAATTGACCTTTTTAGAGGTATGGTGGAAAAAGTGTGGAGAGAAACTAAAGTGGGAGGAAAAGCTAGTTTCAGGATAGCCAAAAAACTAAAGTTCTTGAAATTGGCAATTAAGAAGTAGACCGAGGAGGAGAGCTTAAAAGAAGAAGAGAAGATTAATTGGCTCATGCAGGATCTTGAAGATGGATAGAAAGGAAAGGGAGGAGGGCTTATCTTCAGTGGACAATGAGAAAAGGGATGGGATGAGAGTTGACTTAGCCAAGAGACTGCACATGGAGGAGGCCTGTAGATAGAAGGCAAGAGAAAATTGGCCCAAAGATGGCAATAGAAACACAAAATATTTCCATTGCTTGGCCAAACATAGAAGGTGTAATTATGTGGAGGACTTATATATAGAAGATAGTGGCATCAAAGAAAATGAAGCTATATGAGGAAGATTTCAAAAGAAGATCCAGGTCAGATGGCTTTACAGCTTAAGGTGTTGGATGAGAGGAGCAGGAGTCAACTGAAGGATGAATCTGTTCAGTGCTAGTTCTTGTGGGGCGATGAAGATAGGAAGGGACTTTATCATTTGGTGAAGTGGGAGGAGGTGAAACTTTCTCTAGAGCAGGGAGGTCTTGGTCTGAAATCTTTTGTTGATATGAATAGGGCCTTTTATGGTAAATGGATTTGGAGATATTGGAGAAAAGAGGATAATTTCTGGGGAAGAGTGGTTGACGTTAAATTGGGGGGAACGGGTGGGTGGCTCCCTCAGAGATGTGAGTAGATTTTATGGGGTGGGATTAAGGAAGAGGATAATGCTGAGACAACATAGTGTGCAAGAATGTACTAAATGGAAGGTGAGAAGAGTAATAGGGTTCGATTTTGTCAAGTTGATTGATGTGGAAATGGTTGTTTAATGGATCAATATCTGCAGATTTTTGCCTTGGCACAAAAGAAGAACACATTAGTAGAGGAGGCTTATGGGGGAGGTAATTGTAGAAGAGAGTTGTCCGTGGACGTGACTAGAATCCTCAATGATTGGGAGGTGGAAGAATATGAAGTGATACTGCAACTTTTGGCCACTGTCAAGCTTACGCAAAGAGTGATCAACTTGTGTGGAATTTGAAGAAAAATGGGGTATTCACAGTGAAATCTTTTTACAAGCACTTGGTTTGCAATGTTTTGGTGGGTGAGACAAGCTCCCTGGTAAAACAGATTTGAAAGGTGAAGGCTCTGCCAAGAATAGCCTTCTTTTGCTTAGGAAACAGGTAGGGAATGCATCTTGACCATAGACAAGTTGATGAGAAGAGGGAGAACCATGGTGAATGGTGCTATTTATGCAAAAGAGCAGCTGAGATTTGCAATCATATTCTTCTTTGGTGTCTAGCGACATATAATCTTTGGACTATGGTCTATGGTTTGCTGAGGACTAATTGGATTATTGCAGGGTTGGTGAGATAAGAGATTTTGGCTCGGGAAGAGATTTTGGCTTGGGAAGAGATTTTGGCTTGGGAAGAGATTTGTAAAAAAAGTACTTTGTTTCAACTTATTCCTTTAGCCATTTTCTGGATGATTTGGAAAGAGAGAAACAATAGGAATTTTGAGGGGATAGAAAGGGAGATTGTTAAAATTAAGGATTGATGGTTTCATTATTCTAGGTATGTGATTTTGGGGCATAACTTAGATAGGATGGAAGATTTTGGGACCATTGTTGATATGCTTACAGATTTGTAAATATTTTGCATACGGGTGGTACTCCCTTGGTGACAATGATTTAATATATGTCTTATACTTTTCATTTTTTTTAAAAAGGTATGATGTCCATGCTTATATTGTCCACGGCTTATGTGGTACAGGCTGAGGTCTATATAGGCCAGTAGATATGAAAGAGCTTGTCTTCATCATACATATATAGACTTATTTTATGTTTGGAGTTATTTAGTTGTAAATAGTCATAAATAGTCACTTTATATCATTTTAATCATGCTCATCTTATTGGTGACAAAATTACTTTGCATGGCCTCTTTATGGGTTAAAGCTTATGTTGTTTTTTGGGGATCGTCTTTTTCTATTCTGCAAAGGAATTGGGAAGTTGTCTTTCGTTAAAGTAAACAATCTTTTCTTTTTTTGTGTTTCTTTTTTTTTTTTTTTCATTTTGTTTCTCTTATTTGGGGAGGATACCTTATCAGTTTTCTTTATAATCTCTGTCCTTCTTAATAATAATTTTTTCGTCCTATAAAAAAATTGAAAAATTCAGTCTTTTTGCCAGTTAACTTTGCTATCAAATCTTTTTCTTTTTTTTTGTGTGGCTCTTTTTCATATTTTTTCTTGCTGGAGGTGGGGGAGACTAGATTATTGGTGTTTTCGGCTTGATAACATACTAATATTTGTTTTTTCACAAAAGAAAAAAAATGCAGCGCTTGTTGTTTCCAAGTCCTCTGGATGAGGGACAATATAGATACATTAGTCTGACTCATGTATAGAAAGTTGGTATTTTTGGATTATATATGCTGTGTCATCTTCGTTTCGCTTTTACATTTGACTTTTTCTTCAACCAGGAAGTATTCAACTACAAGATAGCAGCTCGTCCAGACAGACGGCGTCAGTTTGAGAAAGAGCTTACATCTCAGACAGAGGTTGCTCTTAATATATTGACTGCATGTTTAAACTTTAATGGACTTAAGGAGCAGGTGGGTTTTTTTTGTTTGTTTCTTGTTATTCTTACTTCTGTTTTACTTTAATTTAGTCTCGTTGGATCACTTAGCTACTAAGAGGCTTGTTAAAATTTTGTTACTATAGTTTGTTAACAAATGTGCTGTTTTTTTTTGGCTTGATTTCTTGGATAGTTTTGGAATTAGGAATTTATTGTTGCTCAGTTTTTGTGATTTATAGTGGTTATTATCTTGATAAGGGAAAGGAACTAAAACTTTGATTTAATTGATAACAGGACTCAAATCTAACTGCTAAACCGTATAAGTATGATTTCATTGATGATGAGACTGAATTCAGTAGGTTCTTGTGATTTTTTCAGACCCACTGTTGTAACTGCAGTTGATCAGTTAAGTCCAATTGCTAAGGAAGGAGCAGGTGTTTGTTAGTTGGCATGTCACTGTACTGCCATATGTTTGATTGTCTGTTGGGTGTCATGTTATCTGTTTGTTAGCTTGATGCTGTCAGGGTATTTACTACCACATGTCAGTTACGGACATCTTATGTGCTTTGTTGTTTTCCACTTTTTGGTTGTTTATTAGGTTTTAGAAATGCTTGAACTATGCTGGTCGGTTCATGGGTTTGAGAAGTAACTGTTTTCAGTTACTGTAAGAATAAAATCCTTTCTGCAGAAAAGAAAAGAGAATCAGAGAAGAATTTAGGAAAAAGATTTTTTGAGTACTCTTACTCTTGGAGATTCTTGTATCAAGCTCCTTCCAGTAATCAACATCCTGCCATAAGATCCAAAGTGGAGAAAATAAAATCAATCTTTTAGGTGACTTCTGAAATTGCAATAACTGGAGTTTAATAATGGAAATGTGGCAGCTGAAAACTTGAAATGTAATAATCCTTTGTTATCAAGGTAAAAGTTATTAGACTTGTCTGCATATGCATCCAATTTTTGTTTACCTTTTCATGTTAAAAGATTAAAATTGGGCCAGTTCTAAACATTAAAAATCAAAATGCTTCAATGCAAAAAGTTGATTTATTGTTTAGCCAACTCTAGTTATCCATTCGTGTTACGAAGTTAGTTGCTTAAACCTGTTCCATGATATATTGTTTTTTTTATCTCTTGCTTCTCAAAAATTTTCTTTTATTACTACAGCAACCACCGGTGTTGATTATGGAATAATTTAGTTACGTGGCTGGAGGCCTTATGTTGCAAATGAAGCAGAAACCTTTTGAAATTCTTGCAAGCTTCTTTGGTTGCATTTTCTTGCTTGTTAATATATGTGTCATGTATGCTAAGGGTTTCGCTAAGTATTTGATATTTGGCACTTGTTTCTTGCCACTAAGTAAGTTGTTTTCTTTTAAACTTCCGATCTGCCAGGTTCTTGAGGCCTTTGCTTCTTGGCTTCGACTAAGACACGGGTAAGTATTTTCTTAGTTCTTTACTTCATGAGCATATTTGTTTCATGCCTTGCATGATATTACCACTTTTTTCCTGTCACTTATATTGCTTCCAGAGTAGGACTTCTCTTTTTTGATTGAAGTGTATGGGGGAATGGAATTGTATGTTTGTTTTTGAATAATGAGGCCCTACATATACATATTCTTGATTATAAGAAATGGAAACCTACAATTAATTACATGTAGGTATTTCACTTAACTTTTATCCTAACTACATGTAATATGCACTTTTCAACATTTTCCCTTAAATTGGTGAACAAACATTGTTCATTCCTAAATTGACAATAATTATATGGAACAAGAATTATTCATTGAGTCATCATCCGGAATTTTGATTTTTCACTAGATTTCACCATTACATTCTATTTCTTGCTTCTCCATGTGACCAAACTTCCTCCAAGGAAGGTACAATAATTGATAGTGAATCTTCTATCCATTATTGATATAGGATAGTCAGAATCAATATAGAACTATATGAGTAATTTGTTATTCTTTCTACATATGAGATCCTTTCTTGATGTCCCTTTTAGCTTACTGTAGGACTCGATATGTTGTCTATAAATGTATTTTAGGATTATTCATAAATTGGCTTATCATATTTGCTGCATAAGCAATATCTAGTCTTGGACAAATAGATAAGTCTTCCAATTGGTCTCTGGTACATTTTCTTGTTGATAGCTGCATCTTCTTTTGTTAATTCTAGTATGGTTGGGATCAATTAGGGTGCTAGTAGGTTTACATGCCAGCTTGCTTGTATCTTTTAGAAGGTTGTTGATGAACTTTTGTTGTGAGATGAAGATTCCATCTTTTGAATGAGCTATTTCAATTTTAAGAAAGTATTTTAGTCTCCCTAGTTCTTTAATTTCAAATTATTTGGCCAAACGTTGTTTTAGTATTAATTCTCTTTTTTATCATTACCTGTTATAATAATGTCATCATTCATACACAAATAGGTTGTAACTCCTTCCTGAATCTGAATGCTTGATGAACAGAGTGTGATCTTCCTAGCTTGTTCTCCCATTACCAACAATACCTTTTTAAACCTTCCAAATCATGTCCTCAATGACTGAAGTCTATAAAGAACCTTTTCTAATATGCAAATTTTATTTGTTCTTGCATTTTTTTTGAATTTTGGTAAAATTTTCATGTAAATTTCATGTTGAGGGTCTCCGTACAGGAATACATTTTTTACATTAAACTATTATAGTTGCTAATCAAAGTTGACAGCTAAAGACAATAGAACTTAGACTGGATTTATCTCGGCAACGGGTGTAAAAGTCTCTTGATAGTCTATTTCATATATTTGGGTGTATTCCTTAGCCATCATACTTGTTTTGTATGTCTTTATTGTATCATCAACTTTATATTTTATGATGAAACATCAATTTGTGTCCCACGGGTTTTTTTCCTTAGTTAGTCCACCATCTCCCATATTTGGTTTTTCTCCAATTCCTGTATTTCAATATTCATAGTATTTTTCTATTTTTTACAAGATAATAACTCAAAATGTTAGGAATAGACTCTATACTTCCTTTTTGAGATTCCATAAAATGGGTATAGAGTCTATTCTTTGGTTCTTTTTCGAATTGTAATAGTTATGTCCACCAAAATGCGATGAATTGTCAGAAGTTACCTTATTTTCCAGAACTTGACTTTGATGCTTGAACCTATTTCGGTTTAGGATCCAAATTTTTCCTCTTCGAGTACATCTTAGGGAATCATGGGTCATATACAGCCATTGGTGCTGGTCCATCATTTGGGTTTTAAAGTAATGGAGATAAATCATTTTTTGGGTTGTGAGGTAATTGAGAAGAATTACTTGGTGGTAGAGGTGCTAATGATAGGAGGTAAGATAAGGTCATTTTTGGGTTGCGAGGTAACTAAGAAGGATTATTTGTTGGTGGTAGAGGTGGGGCAAAAAATCACGAAAAATCGAGACTTACCGGTGGCAGTGCTCTTGGGTGCGGTGGCTCCTCCGGTGTGAGTCGCGTTTTGATGTTTGGCTCCGATCAACCTGTAGAGAAAAGAACGGTGATCACAGTGGTATAAAATTTGCATCGAACGGAGGCCGGGAAGGGCCTCATCGGATGCAAAAACTGAGGAGGGACGTGGCAGCGCCGCTGGGTTTCGGCTGGATTTTTCGACCGTTTGGCCTGTGGTTTGGCTCCGGTTTGGCCATAGGCGGACTTAACATCGAAAAACAAGCAAGGGAGAGAAAATTTACCTCGATTG